ACACTGGTGCTCCACAGGTTAACTGCATAGGCCACGGCCTGCTTCTGGTTGAAGGTCTTGACTTCCTGCAGCTTTTTCCTAAACTTCTGGGCCTCGCCCTCCTCATTGGCGAAGCTCCGGACTGTAGGCATAGCGGACAGAGCTTCAATGGCCACCTGGCTGGACTCTGCCAGAGATTCCCGCACCTGCACTTCCAGCAACTGTGGAGACATATAGACAAGAGAGGTCACATGGAGTCAGCCAGCCATAAGGGACACTGTATCCAAGGCGCCTGGCTGGAATTCAAGGTGAGGAGAGGCAGAGAGACATGAGAAGAGAGAAAGGGACACAGTTTGGCCGCCAGGGTAGTAAAGAGATACGGAGGAGAGGACAACAATACAGAGTGGATTAAAGATCATATTCATAATAGTGGGCAGAAGTTAAGAGAGAAGACAGGAAGAACATGAAGTGCAATGTTGAGCAACCTGGGAACATGAACTATAGGGGTAGGGAGTTCCACAAAGATGGTGAATCAGCGAGAGTACAAGGAGAGAAACCTAGATGTGGGAGGTGAGGGGCTGAGCCAACTCCCTGGACATACCTCGTACCATTTTCCCAGCTTCTTAGGCAGAAGGAAAAGCAGAGGCAGGGTGAGCAGTGTGACCATGGTGAGGGACAGTGACTCCCAGAGCATGAGCCCCATGAGACACAGCCCCCGCACCAGGTACCACAGCAACAGGCTCAGCTTCTCACTCAGCGACTCACTCAGGGTGGACGTGTCCTCTGTTACTCGTGATGTGATGGCACCTGCCAAGGTCAGGGAGAAGAGAGTGGAGAGAATGACAGGTTCTGAGTGGTGAGAGGAATGAACAAGATGCCAGGGGGAGGGGTGTCAACATGGTGGTCTCAGGAGGCTGGGGCAAATACAGTTAAGGGTCTGGGGAGGTCCGATTCTCAGCACAGGGAGAGTGTACATCAGATGGGCCAATCCTGGACAAAGACCCTCATCTTAACTCTCGGGTCCTTAATGTGCACATGAACTTCTGTGTCTCTGAAATCTTTTTGTACCATAACGAACATCTATTTCCCATGCTAAATGCACAGGCAGAGCTTAAACCATTGACAGAACAGAGCTGGGGTGGAGCACGGCACCAGGAATCAAGAGACAGGGGTTCTAACCCCAGGTGGTTCTTGAAGCCAGATGTGACCACATGAGGGTCTGCATTTAGGGTTTCACTCTGTAGAACGAGGTGGTTGGATGTCACATCAAAATCTCCAGACTTGAAAGTCTGTATTTCTACCTAAGTACACATATGGAGAGATTTAGGGGGAAATCCTTGGTCTAAAAAATGGATTTTTCTTAAGGTAAAGAGGACAATATTTTGCTCCTGAGCTACATCAAGAAATAACAGACAACCCCTGTAAACATGCAGTTGAGTGGCACAGAACCTGCTCACAGCCTGGGAGCCCACGGTGCCCTGTCTGCCTCTGGCCTGGCAGTTGTAGGCAAGCACCCGTCCCCACGGGACCCACTCTGCTCTCAGTGTATAAATTCACAGAGAAACATGAACAGATGACAACAGAAAATGGGATTGGAACAGTGGAAATCAGCAATTTTGCACAGGAAGCTTTGGGAGATATTTATTGTAGTCTGCCTGAAGTTGGGACAAAATTGAAAACACAAGACGAGTTTGGTGCTTTGGAAAGTGTGAAAGCTGCTAGCAAACTCTTCTCTGTCAGGTGAAGTAACTGAAATTAACAATGCCCTTCACAGAAACCCAGAACTCAACAAGTCTTGTTATGAAGATGGTTGGCAGACCAAGAAGACACAGGGGCCGGTGCTGTGGCATAGCAGGTAAAGCTGCCACCTGCAGTGCCAACATCCAATATGGGCACCAGTGTAAGTCCTGGCTGCTCCACTTCTGATCCAGCTCTCTGCAATGGCCTGGGAAAGCAGAAGATGGCCCAAGTCCTTGGGCCCCTGCACCCATAATGGGAAACCCGGAAGAAGCACTTGGCTCCTGACTTCGGATAGGCTCAGCTTTGGCCATTGCAGCCATCTGTGGAGTGAACCAGCGGATGGAAGACCTCCCCCCCCCACCCCCGTAACTCTGCCTTTCAAATAAATAAATCTAAAAAAAAAGAAGACATCCCTTCAGAACTCCAACAGTGAAGAAGCCTATGAGAAATACATTAAAATCTATTGAAAAATGAAAGTGAAACCTTATATGAACTAGTATCAAATAACTTATTCCAGCTCAGTTGTCTCAAATTATTGGCAACCAGAAGACTTAAAATAGAAATTTTCAGCAATATTAATGGGAAGAGATACTACTTTCAACTCTGCTACTGGGTTTCAACTCCCCTAACTTTGTAACAATTGCCAATGAACACAGTACCCATCTTGTTCAAATACCCTGTGATTTTTTTTTTCACACTAGGCTCTAGTTTTCAGAATGCATGAAATTATCTGTGGCAAAAACTAGTTATACAAACAATGTCGGCCAGCGCCGCGGCTCAATAGGCTAATCCTCCGCCTTGTGGTGCCGGCACACGGGGTTCTAGTCCCGGTCAGGGCGCCAGATTCTGTCCCAGTTGCCCCTCTTCCAGGCCAGCTCTCTGCTGTGGCCAGGGAGTGCAGTGGAGGATGGCCCAAGTACTTGGGCCCTGCACCCCATGGGAGACCAGGATAAGTACCTGGCTCCTGCCTTCAGATTAGCGCGGTGCGCCGGCCGCAGTGGCCATTGGAGGGTGAACCAATGGCAAAGGAAGACCTTTCTCTCTGTCTCTCTCTCTCACTGTCCACTCTGCCTGTCAAAAAAAAAAAAATGTAATTCAAGGATAACAGTGCCATCCTCAAGCCTTATGTAATATTGTAACTTGCTTGTAGCCATCCCCGGATTGGGGTCCAAATATGGAATGATCTTTCCATCGGCAGTAACTGCGAACGAAGAACAGTTTTTGCTATTCGTACAGTGACCAATACTGTCTTAATTTTTTGCAACGTACTTCATTTGCTGGTGCTGTTTTACAGAGGGAAGCAACAGCTCTGCCAAAAAATAATAAACATAATAAAATGTTCAACTTCCTTGTTTAAAAAAAAAAAAAAACAGACACAGAATAACAGACAGAGAGACAGAGAGCTGTCAGTAATGAGTAGTGAGGGAGGAGCCTGAGAGTGTACAATGAGTTTCCTGAGAAACCTGTTTGGTTCTGCTGGAAAAACTCCGTCTCCTGGCGCAGGACGGCCCGAAACACCTCTCCCTGCAAGTGGGCGTGTGAGCGGTCCATGGTGCTGTTGTAGATCCCATCACCCAGGAACTCCAGCAGGGCACTGGAGAGGAACAGGGAGGAAAGGGTGGGATGTGTTCAGGAAAGGGCGGCCGGGTCCCAGGCGCCCCTGCAGAAGCCCCCCACCTTCCCACGCCCTCTTTTCCAGGGTTCCCCCTTCTCAGCCCCCAGACCTGGCTACGGTGAGAATGGACATGAGAGTTAAGTTTCCAGCGAAGGCAGCGGCTGTCCCATCCTGGACAATCCAGTCAGTGAGGCGGCCAGTGAAGAAAGGAATGGCCATCTCCCCTGGGCAGAGAGGAGCGGGCATCAGTGGTGGAGGACCCGTCTAGGTGGGCCAGCCGGGCTCAGACCGCCCCCTCGGCCCCTCGCCGGCACCCCCGAGGCGGGGGGAACAGTGCACAGAGTGGACGCTGAGGTCGCAATGCCACACCTGGACACACAGCCGTGTGGCTGCCCCATCAGACCTCCCAGCAGGTTAACAAAAAAGGCTGGAAATCAAGGAGGAAGATGAGGAGGAAGGACTGGCCCAGATGGCGCAGTGAATGAACAGGCCCAGCCCAGGGTTCCAGTGACTACACCCCAGGGGTGTCCTCAAGACCCGCGCTAGGGCACTCTCCACCGACCCCTGCCTCCCGGAGCCCACACCGCCCTGCCCCGACTCCTGCCTGCTCCCTTCGCCCCGTCACCCGCTTGCTCACCTAGGCAGGAGAGGACCAGCAGGGTCAGGACGAGCGGCAGGCGACGGATGTCCGGGCCCAGGCAGCCCAGGAGCCGGCGCACGGCGTCTACAGAGCCCCCCGGGCGAACGGGCCGCCACAGGCTCCCGAGCAGGTGCCACAGGGCGACCGCGGGCAGGGCGGCCGCATAGCTGAGCGCGAAGGCGTCGGGGCGACTTCCCCAGTGCAGGAGCCGGGTGCTGCCGGCGTCCCGGCGGACGCCCCATGAGACCAGCTCTCGGAACAAGGCAAGTCCTGGCAGGGCCAAGCCCAGCGCGGCCGCCAGCGGCTCCAGAGCGGCCAGGCCTCCCGCGACACGTGCACTCCGGCCCTGGCCTCCAGCCGTGGCCTCGAGGACGGCGCGGGCCCCCAGCCGCAGCACGGCCCAGCGGCCCAGGCCCGCCGCCCACACCCGGAGCAGCGGCCACGCCGGGGGCAGCAGGCGCGAGAATATGCCGGGCAGCGCCACCCGGAGCAGCGCCCAGTCGGCCAGAAGCAGCAGCGGCGCCCCCAGCCACGCCAGCGACGCCCGGCACGGAGCCGGCGACCCCGAGCTGGCCATGGGCGCGCGGGTGCGGGTGCGCCGCTGTCCCCGTGGACCGGGCGCTGTCGGGGCTCGCTGGGCGCCGGGACCCGCGTCTGGGGGCGGGACCGGGGGGCGGGGCTCTGGGAAAGCCCCGGGAACCGGCGGGGTCCTGCTCGCCTTAACGAGAAGTGCAGCCGTTTAGGGGAAAGAGAAATCGAAAGCGGCAGGCTTTCAGATCCGCCCAGGCTACTTTGGATGCTAGCGTTGACGTCAGACCTCCGGCTCTGAGGGGCAGCCCAGGCGCCCCGTTTTCTCCCGCACCGTACACACCATGCACTCCTCTCCCCGGCTCCTCCAAACCCACTCGAGCCAGTTTTCCCACCGCGGCCCCGGCCCCGGCTCTTTCGTCACCGGTCTCCGGGCAGATCAGCCGAGCGCAGGTTAGCGCCCCGGCGCGAAGCCTCGGCGCGCGGACGCGGGCGCCCCCTGGTGGGCGCGGCGAGGGGCGGAGCCGCGGACCCGGCGCCGGGCGCTGGCGCGGGTTGGAAACCAGCGAGCCTCAGTCAGCCAGGAGCGCGGCGCCCGGCCGGGATGCTGCGGGCAGGAGCGCCTGCCGGGGACTTGCCCTGGGCCGGCGAAGTCCACACCGGGGTAATGGGCCTGGGCTTGAGGGCTAGTAGAGGGGTGGAGGAGGTCGAGCGGCCGCGGGACCCCAGGGACGCCGAGGAGTTGCAGGGAAACAGCTTGTAGCCGCCGGGGCTTGCACCATGCACCGAGCTTGGGGGTCCCTTTTTCGAAGGAGGTGGGCTAGGGGCGGTGAAAGTCGGGACGGTCGAGGACCGTGGACGGGTGCTTTGGCTCTTAGCTGGAGGAATCAAGGTGGGAAGCTGCTCTAAACCGCTTTCGCTTTCGCTATGATCAATCCGTGGGGAGTCGGTTAAACCGAAAGAGGGGCTCTGGGCCGTGGGGGGCTCGGAGGGAGTGGTTCTCTGTGCGCAGCGAGGGGCACGCTCACGGAGAGGCAGCAGCTCCTCGCACAGACCTCTGATTAACTTGTCCCTGAGCAGCTCACAGCCCAAGCCCTCATAACGGGGTTCGCGGCGAGCTGGCACAGCCCCCTCCCCAGAGTGGCCAGGAAGGCTCCTGCGGCCCCCGCTGTGTCGCCCCTATCCACTCCCACGCGCCTGCAGGGGGCCCTGCCAGGGGGCGTAGCCCCAAGGCTGGGTGGCTTTCTGCCCTTGGATTGCGTGCTTGGCTGGAAGGCGACTTTTCACAGAGGCAGAGAGCTACCCCTGTTCTCGGCTAAGTCAGAAAATGAAGTCAGGGCTTCTGGAGGTGAGAAACAGCTGTTAAGACCGGTCTCCCCTCATCGCTGCCGAGTGAGCAGTGAGGAATAGGAAGTGGAAGTCCAAAGGAGATCGGAGTGAGACCCGGGTGTTAACCCCAGGTGTGCCATTAGTTCTGCCATTGGCGTTAGCACCTAAGTTTCCTCATTTGAGCCAAGGGTGCTCAAGGTTCTTCCCAACAAAACAAAAGTAAAAGCAGAGGGTAGCGTTGCCTTGCTTCGCTGCTCCTGTATTCTCTTACCCAGTTGCCTCTAATCTGTTCCCCAGGCTGCTGGGATAGCCGCTCTTGATCAGAAAGTTCTTAAGTGAAACCTTTGTTTTTGTGGAAGGTTTACTTGTTTGTTTATTTATTTATTTATTTAAAAGGCAGAGTTACAGAGAGAATCTTCCATCCACTGGTTCACTTCCCAAAATGGCTGCACTGGCTTAAGCCGGACCTAGCTTATCCAGGTCTCCCGTGTGTGTGGATGGGGCCCAAGCACTTGGGCCATCATTCTGTGCCTTCCCAGGCACATCAGCAGGGAGCTGGATTGGAAATGAAGCAGCCAGGACACAAGCTGGCACCCGTATGGGATCCAGCGTCACAGGGCCTGGCAGCGGTGTAACCCACTCGGCCACAATGCTGGCCCGGAGGCCTTGATTTGAAAACATCGTGTGTGTTCCTCGTTGCTTCCCTCCCGTCTTGATTCCCGGCTGTGCCAACCACTGACTTCGTCAATGCTACCCATTGCCAGGTGAACTGATAAAGCTCACTTGTGATTAAGTGCAGGGGCTGAGGGAGAACTCTTGAGTTGAAAAGAGACCTGAGCTTTTGATTCAAGTTCACTGTAACGTACTCTGCATCAGGTCTGTACAGTACTGCACACACGAGAGCACCTGTCAGGGAGACAGTTCATCTGAGGGTCAGCCTCATGGCCCCGGGATGTCCCTTAGCCCTCCCCTGAAAGGAAGCACTTCTATGGCTCAGTGCCCGCCACGCTCCACCGGGAAAGGATTCCATGGGGGAAAGCAGAGGCTAGGGGCTGCAGTTCTTCCTTGTGTTATAGCACAGCTTGTGACATCCCCCTGGAGCTGGATAGAGCAGTAGAGAAAGTGGAAAGACAGGGTGGGGGGTGACCCTGCTCTGGGATCAGCTGTGGCCCGGGTTACTGTGTGACTTTAGCCATCGCCCACCCTCTCTGAGAGTGATTCCTGACAGTGGCCTCTGTGTCTCTGCAGACAACCATCATGGCCGTGGAGTTTGACGGGGGTGTTGTTGTGGGTTCAGATTCCCGGGTGTCTGCGGGGTGAGTACCAGTGGGGAGGGGGGGATGATGACCCCACAGATCAATATTACTTACAGTATAGTTCACAGAACATAGCACAAGTCTCTCAAAATGTTAACAAAGAAAAATCGATGAGAGGCACTTTTTTAAATGTTTCTTCTTCATTTTTTAAAAAGATTTATTTATTTGAAAGAGTTACAGAGAGGTAGAGGCAGAGAGAGAGAGAGAGAGAGAGAGATCTTCCATCTGCTGGTTCGTTCCCCAAATGGCCGCAATGGCCGGAGCTGGGCGAATCAAAAGCCAGGAGCTAGGATCTTCTTCTGGGTCTCCCACACGGGTGCAGGGGCCCAAGCAGTTGGGCCATCTTCTACTGTTTTCCCAGGCCATATCAGAGAGCAGTATCAGAAATGGAGCATCAGGGACTTGAACTGGTGCCCATGTGGAATGCCGGCACTGCAGGCAGGGACTTTACCTGCTATGCCACAGCGCAGGCCCAGCACTTTTTCTTAATAGCAGTGTTTATGTTATGCCATCTAAACCTGAGAATACATCTAATTTTGATTAAGACATGTAATAACTCATTTTACGGAAGTCATTTATTTTCCTGCTTTAACCCAAGTATTAAATGTCATACTATTCTCTTGCCAACAGGCAGGCGGTGGTGAACCGAGTGTTTGACAAGCTGTCTCCCCTACACCAGCGCATCTACTGTGCCCTCTCTGGCTCAGCTGCTGATGCCCAGGCCATAGCTGACATGGCTGCCTACCAGCTGGAACTCCATGGGTATGAAGCTCAGGGCTCCTGACTCCATGTCCGCTGGAGCACCCCCCCCCCCCAGCCCGAGAACCCTGGCACAATGACCTCTCCTAGGAGCACTGCATTGAGAAATAGGGATTCTTGTTCGCATGTGGTAGCTTTGAACTGGTGCTGGAATCTCTGTGCCAGCATCTGTACCTGTCAAGTGGAGATAATAGCACATACACCCTCCCCAGGTGGTTATTTTTAGATGGAATGACTTACGGGAAAATGATACAAATCAAATGATGTATTTAAAATGCTACACTGCTGTCCTAATATAAATGATCAGGAAGAAAATAATGGCCCACTGTCATATCAGGAGTTGCCATATCGAGAAATCATGGTCATTGGGACAGAACTGAAGCTTATCTGCTTTTATCCATTAGGGCTTGGCCCTGGCAGCCAAAAGACGGGTGAATGGATAGGTGCGGGTGGGTGGGGTTAGGGAAAAGGGTGAACAGTTGGAAACTTCTTACCAGTTGGGGGTGTGGAGCTCCAGGCCCCTGTGCATGTGGGAGGAAAGTGGAGTTTGAACTATTGCAGTGTGGGTTCCAAGTGTCACTTGGCAGGGATGATGGTAAGGACACAGCAGGCTGTGAGTTGAGGAAGCTATGCCCACCCTTACTCCTTGTGCTTCCTTCAGGTTGGAACTGGAAGAACCTCCGCTGGTTCTGGCTGCTGCAAACGTGGTGAGGAACATCACATACAAGTACCGGGAGGACTTGTCTGCACACCTCATGGTTGCTGGCTGGGACCAGCGTGAAGGGGGCCAGGTGGGTCCCTCCATGCACATCCTCCTGCAGGCACAACCTCCTTGCTTCCCACAGAGGGAGACGCCAGTCCTGGGTCATTTTAGCAATGAAATCCAAAGACCCTGCCTCAAAACGCACGGTCTAGTCCCAATTGCTGGGGACTAGAGCAAAAGGGAGCTTCACCCCAGGGTGCAGAGACCACCCACTTGTCTCAGTGGGGAGGGGAGGCTTGGTGATCCTTCAGACTCACCTGGCAATGTCCCCACAACCCCACCGCCAGGTATATGGAACTCTAGAAGGAATGTTGATCCGACAGCCCTTTGCCATCGGTGGCTCTGGCAGCACCTACATCTACGGGTACGTGGACGCCGCATACAAGCCAGGCATGTCACCCGAGGAGTGCAGGCGCTTCACCACAGACGGTAACTCGCCAAGCGGGCTGCGCCGAGGGAGGGTTGTAGCCTGGGAATGCAAGACTGCATGGAGTAGGAAGAGGAATACATGGGTAGCCATTTATGTGAATGTGCAAACTAGGAAACGGGATGGGGACATGCGGACAGGAGGGGTACACCACAGGTATTTTGAGGAGACCACGGTGGGATCTATCATCGCCATAGAAACCATGGAGGCGCAGGTGACTTGGCTCAGCTCTTTTTTTTTTTTTTTAACTTTTATTTATTTTTTTTTTATTTAATGAATATAAGTTTCCAAAGTACGAATAATGGATTACAATGGCTTCCCCCCCATACCTTCCCTCCCACCCACAACCCTCCCCTTTCCTGCTCCCTCTCCCCTTCCATTCACATCAAGATTCATTTTCGATTATCTTAATATACAGAAGATCAGCTTAGTATACATTAAGTAAGGATTTCAACAGTTTGTTCCCACACAGAAACATAAAGTGAAAAATAATAGATGATTTTTTTTAATGATGATGAAATCAGATCAGACCTATTGTCATGTTTAATCCCAGTGAGAGTCAAGTTGGGAGTTGATAGTTTCTTTTTTTTTTTTTTTTTTTACAGAAGATCAGTTTAGTATGCATTAAGTAAAGATTTCAACAGTTTGCACCCCCATAGAAACACAAAGTGAAATATATTGTTTGAGTACTCGTTATAGCATTAAATCTCAATGCACAGCACATTAAGGACAGAGATCCTACATGAGGAGTAAGTGCACAGTGACTCCTGTTGTTGACTTTACCAATTGACACTCCTGTCTATGGCATCAGTAATCTCCCTATGCTCCAGTCATGAGTTTCCAAGGCTATGGAAGCCCTCTGAGTTCTCCGATTCTTATCTTGTTTAGACAAGGTCATAGTCAAAGTGGAGGTTCTCTCCTCCCTTCAGAGAAAGGTACCTCCTTCTTTGAAGACCTGTTCTTTCCACTGAGATCTCACTCACAGAGATCTTTTGCCAGAGTGTCTTGGCTTTCCATGCCTGAAATACTCTCATGGGCTTTTCAGCCAGATCCGAATGGCTTTAGGGCTGATTCTGAGGCCAGAGTGCTATTTAGGACATCCTTGACTCAGCTCTTAAGAGCTGATTGTTGTCCAGCGCCACAGCTCACTAGGCTAATCCTCCACCTGCGGCGCCGGCACTCCGGGTTCTAGTCCCGGTCCGGGCACCGGATTCTGTCCCAGTTGCCCCTCTTCCAGGCCAGCTCTCTGCTGTGGCCCGGGAGTGCAGTGGAGGATGGCCCAAGTACTTGGGCCCTGCACCCCATGGGAGACCAGGAGAAGCACCTGGCTCCTGCCATCGGATCAGTGCAGTGCAGCGGCCGCAGCACGCCGGCCGCGGCGGCCATTGGAGGGTGAACCAACGGCCAAGGAAGACCTTTCTCTCTGTCTCTCTCTCTCACTGTCCACTCTAAGCGTGAAGTAAGAGGGCTGAAGAAAAAAAAGAGCCGATTGTTAAATCTGTTACACATCTGAGGATTTGTGCACTGTGTGCTGTGTTATTCGGAACTTGAAATTAGCACTTATGTCGTGGACGTCAGCAGGTGCTCCATGTGAAGGCTTGATTGATTGATTGATTGATTGATTTTAAAGCCTGTTTCTCAGCACAAGGCAGATATTGCTTCTCTGAAAGATGGGTTTGAGGAGAAGGGGGAGTGGGTTTGAGGAGAAGGGGGAGTGGGTGTGGGCAAGAGGGGAAAGCAAAGATTGTTGACGCTCCGCCACTCTCTCTCTCTCTCTCTCCAACGCGAAACCCCTGCAGCTATCGCTCTGGCCATGAGCCGGGATGGCTCCAGTGGGGGTGTCATCTACCTGGTCACTATCACAGCTGCTGGCGTGGACCACCGCGTAATCTTGGGCAATGAGCTGCCGAAGTTTTACGATGAGTGATTCTTTCTCAGACTTGCTTCCTCGTTTTGTAATAAACTCTCTGAGAACAGAAGCTGGTATCGTCAATAACAATGGGTGCCCTGTTCCTTCTCTCCCAGGCCTAAAACCCCTTCCCAGAGAGAGGTGATTGGCATCTGCCAGAGGTAGACAGGGCCCACCACATGACAGATCGCCCTCTACTGGTGATTGTGAGACATGACAAACAATAAAAAGTCCCATTCTGATGAGGGTGCAAGTGAGGAGGCTAAGGCTGAGCAGTGCTCAAGCCAGCCACACACAAGCATTGACAACAGCAAACTCACATGTGAAAGACTCCTTTCCTGACGCATTCATTCACATCACAGATCAACACGTGAAAAGTGCTAAAATATTTGGGGAGAGGGCAGTTCTGACTTTCAGTGAGTAATAACAATAACTCAAAAAAAAAAAAAAAGCTACATTGACTGAGCCAGGCATTCGGAAAATGCTTTACAAATTTTGTCTCTTAGAACCCAAACAAAAAGAAACAAACAACAAACAGAACCACCCTATATAGGTGCTATTCTGATATCTATCAAAGGAGATGAGGCTTAGAAAGATTAAGCCAGGGGCCGGCACTGTGGGATAGCAGGTAAAGTCACTGCCTGCAGTGCTGTCATCCCATATGGGTGCTGGTTCGAGTCCCGGCTGCTCCACTTCTAGTCCAGCTCTCTGCTGTGGCCTAAATGCCCCTGCACCCATGTGGGAGAGCTAGAAGAAGCTCCTGGCTCCTGGCTTCCGGTCATCCATTGTGGCCATCTGGGGAGTGAACCAGCAGATGGAAGACCTCTTTCTCTCTGTCTCTCTGCCTCTGCCTCTATGTAACTCTGTCTTTCAAATAAAAGAAAGAAAGATTAAGCCAGGGAGTAGTAGGCTTAAACCTCTGTCTGCAACACCAGCAGCACATATGGGCACCAGTTTGAGTCCTGGCTGCTCCTCTTCAGACCCAGCTCTCTGCCATGGCCTGGGAATACAATGGAGGATGGCCCAAGTGCTTGGGCCCCTGCACCCGCATGGGAGACCTAGAGGAAGCTCCTGGCTCCTGGCTTTGGATCGGCTTAACTCCAGTCATTGAGGACATTTGGGGAGTGAACCAGCAGATGGAAAACCTTTCTCTTTGTCTCTCTTTCTCTCTGTCTGTAACTCTACCTCTCAAATAAAATAAATAAAATCTTTAAAAAAAAAAAAATGAAGTCCCTTGACCACAGTTCTGAGGCTGGGATCTGGGGTCTGGTGTCGCCATCCCCCCTTCTTCCAACACCAAGTAAGACTTCCCATCCCCTCAGCCTCCAGGTGTCGCCTCCTCTTTGAAATCTGTCAAAGTTAGCCCAGCGACTGGCTGGCAGTTAGGCGGCTGTTAGCAGCTGCCTGAGTAACTGCCTCCAACAAAGAGAAATTTAGATCCTATCTTTGCCGTGCACTCGCTGAATGACAGAACAAACTGCTTCCTTTCTGTGAGTGCGCATTTCCTCTTCTGTGACAAGGAAGTGCTGACTGATTTCTAAGGTGGTTTACAGCCAACACTCAATGCCGGTTTGCTAATGATGAAGCAGTTAAACCAGCCCGACCACCACTGTAGTAGCAGCTCAGGCTAAACACAAAGGAGAACATGGAAACCCCTGAAATTACAAAAGCCTTGTTTCTGATGAGGCTGAATTTATTTTGGATTTTAAAATAATAGTTTAAGAACCTATCTCTCGAAGCTGGTGTTTCTCGCCACAGGTTTGGGATACCTGTTTCCCGTATCAGATCACCCAATTCCTGTCCTGGCTGCTCTACTCCTCATCCAGCTTCCTGCCAGTGTGCACCCTGGGAGGCAGAGGTGATGGCCCGAGTACTTGAGTCCCTGCCACCCACAGGGGAGCCCCAGCCTGAGCTCCAGGTTTCTGACTTCAGCCTGGCCCAGTCCTGCTGCTGCACCCATTTGAGGTGCATTTGGGAATGAACCGGTGGGTGGAAGATCTCTTGCTATCTCTGTCTCTCTGCTTTTCAGGTTAAAAATAAGGGGAGGGGGGATGCCTCCTAGAATATCTGGGGCATGGAAAATTTTTTAATAAAAGAAAAGGAAAACTTATCTCTCCCTATCACTGACCACAACTAGGAATTCTGGAAATATACGAAACGCGAGGACTCTGAAAAGTAAACAAAGGCAGGTAGGTTGTGAAGAGTCAGAACTTGAGAAAGCAACCCTCCCCAAGGGTGGTTTTCCACTCTTTCCTTATTCTTCTCGAAGCTTTGCCCTGGATTCAGGCTTCAGGTACAAGCATTAAATCTCCAAAACAAACACCTGATGACAAAGGGACACCTAAAATTCTCATGATGAACTAAAAGAAAAATAAAAGCATGGACTTAAAAAGGCAGCATAAAGGAAACCGGCTCATCCGGAACAAGATGGTAGGCCAGCGAGTAAAGCCTCAGCCTGACACCGGCATCTCACGTGGGTGTCCATCAAGTCCTGGCTGCTCCACTTCTGATCCAGCTCCCTGCTAATGGCCTGTGAAAGCAGCGGAAGATGGCCCAAGTGCTTGAGCCCCTGACACCCATGTGGGAGACCTGGAAGAACCTCTAGCTCCTAGCTTTGGGCTGACCCAGCCGTAGCCATGGTGGCCATCGGGAGAGTGAACCAGCAGATGGACAATCTCTCTATCTATCTCTATCTCTATCTCTATGTGTCTCCCCCTCACTCTGTAATTCTGACTTTCAAATAAATAAACAAATCTTTAAAAAAAATTTGATGGTAAAAATCTTACACAGGGACACCATATGGCTTCAAATATATTCATTAGAAGCAGAAATTTCAACATTAAGTGACCTAAAATTTCTCCTCAAAATTTTGGAAAGAGTAGTTGAGCAAACGTATACAAATAAGAGGAAAAAGAATTTATAAAAATAAGAACAGAAAATAATGAAAAAGAGAACAAAAACTAGGTAGTGAAGGTCCACGAAACCAAAAGCTGTTCCTTAAAAAAACAGTTTTAAGTTATTCAACCTATAACAGGACTGAGAACATGGATTAAGGGAAGAGAAAACAAATAACAAAATACAAAATACAGAAACAATAGAGATACACATAACTGAGGATATTACAAACAAGTATACACTAACAATTTTTTTATTTAAAGATTTTTATTTATTTATTTGAGAGGTAGAGTTGTAGACAGACAGAGGGGGAGAGAGAGAGAAAGGTCTTCCATCCACTAGCTCACTCCCCAAAAGGCCGCAACAGCGAGAGCTGAGCGAATCTGAAGCCAGGAGCCAGGAGCCTCTTCCAAGTCTCCCACACGGGTGCAGGGGCTAAGGACTTGGGCCATCTCCCACTGCTTTCCCAGGCCATAGCAGAGAGCTGGATCAGAAGTGGAGCAGCCAGGACTAGAACCGCCGCCCATATGGGATGATAACACTGCAGTAGAGGCTTATCCCACTACACCACAGCACCAGCCCCTGCTAACAAATTTGGAAACCTAGATGAGTTGGCAAATTCCTAGAAAAATTAAAGCTACCAAAATTGCCTCAGAAGCCAAACTTGACTATGCCAATAAATATTGAACAAAAAGGAAGCTTGTCAGTGGTCTCCGATGAAGATATTTTTTTCAATGCCCAGATGCTCTCACAGATGAGTGACATCTAACATTCAAGAAACAGGTAGCTCATATCTTATGCACTTTTTCCAGAAAATAGAAAAAAAAAAAAACTGCCCAGTTAATTTCGCCAGGCCAGAGTCATCTGGATTCTAAACTGAGGTATGGAAAATTCAGGGACAGAAACTATTAGGCACATTTCACCTTGAGTATAGATGGGGAAAATAATTATTTATAAGCTGAATTCAACAGTATTAAAAATAATAATAACACATCAAGCCCAAATGGAGGGGCTGGCACTGTGGCGCAGTGGGTTAACACCCTGGCCTAAGCACTGGCATCCTATATGGGCGCCAGTTCAAGACCTGGCTGTTCCACTTCCTGTCCAGCTCTCTGCTATGGCCTGGGAAAGCAGTAGAAGATGGCCCAAGTCCTTGGGCCCCTGCACCCGCATGGGAGACCCAGAGAAAGCTCCTGGCTCCGGGTTTCAGATTGGCACAGCTCTGGTCATCGTGACCAATTGGGGAGTGAACAATCGGATGGAAGACCTCTCTCTCTCTCTCTCTCTCTGCCCTTCCTCTCTCTGTATAACTCTGACTTTCAAGTGAAATAAATAAATCTTTAAAAAAAAAAAAAAAAAGACCAAATGGAGGGGCCAGAGCTGCGGCGCAGGTTAATCCTCCGCCTGCGGTGCCAGTTCTAGTCCCGGATGCTCCACTTCTGATCCAGCTCTCTAATGTGCCAGGGAAAGCAGCAAAGATGTCCACATGGGAGATCCAGATGGAGTCTCTGGCTCCTCGCTTCGGCCTGGCCCAATTCCAGTCATTGCAGCCTGTTGGGGAGTAGACCAACAGATGGAAGGTCTCTCACTCTGCCTCTCCCTCCCTCTCTTCCTGTACTCTGCCTTTCAAATAAATAAACAAATATCTAAAAAATCTCAAAAAAAAAAAAAACTACTACCATCATAACTACTAGTTTCACAGAGCACTGTGAAATGCATAAGAAAATAAAGAAAAATGAGGAGAATGGAAAAAACTATTGTTATATGGCCATCCACTTTATAAATAAATCCAAAGCAGGAAACTATTAAAATAACAAAAAAATCAAAATTTTAGATGTAAGAACAGTTACAAAAATTGACAGCATTTTGCTACAATAAAATGAAGAATTACAATAAAAATTAAGAAATATTTACAGTAGCCAAAAATTACAAAGTTTGTAATGATAAATTTAATCAGAATTTACAGAAAATGTAAAACTCCACAAAGTCATTGAATATAATTTTAAGTAATGGACAATCTTTTTCTTTGGGTAAGCACAGTCTTACAGAGATACCAACTGTCTTCTCTCTCCATATTGACCTTTAGGTTTAGTGTAACTCTGATTGAACCTCCACTTCTCCTTTTTGGGGAAATTTGTAAATTTTCTCTAAAATATATATGTGGCAGCCAGTGCC